TTTTTTTTTTTTTTTTTACCAGTTAGGTTACCGTTGAAACAAATTGGTCGATACATGCCGATTTCGGGGATAAATCCGGTTTTCCACCTGCTAACTGGGTGTTCTTGGCTTGTGTGCGCAGCCGGTAACGGGCCACTCAACACACACGGAGCAAACATAATCACACTACAAAGTGTCTGATAAAGTAGAGCAACTCAATGAGCCGCTCCTGACTGCGACAAGTACGGGCAGGTTTGTCATGTAGCGGACCTCTTAACTCGGGAGTCCGCCAAAGAGTATAAGTATGCATTTGGTGCCCGAAGTCCATGACAAAGTAACCAGAACCGTGCCCAAAGCATTGTGAAGTTATAAGAGGGGGCATCATTTAAACATTGTAGCGGAAAGTATGAAAGAGACTTACCTTGAAATGCCCAGAGCAGCAAGGTGCACAAGAGCGACGCGCGTCCAAATGTTATCCCGTCCATGGCCGCTTTTCTAACTTTTTTTATTATTTTTTTTAAGGAAAAGAATTCACTTTGTTGTTTTTTCGAATGTAGAGTGTGTAAATCTGGCAGCAGCAAGTCTTCTTTCTTCTTTCAATGCTCCAAAGCTTTCTGGACTTCTCTCTTCCCCAGCTCTATCTCTCTCTCTCTCTCTCTCTCTCTCTCTCTCTCTCTGCAAAAGGAGTGCCTCTCTGCCTCACACACACACATACACACACACGGAAATCTGATGCTGGTGGTAGTCGTCTTGGTTGATATATTTGCACAAAAGGTGACCCACACCCCCCCTCTTCCCAATACAACCCCCTCCCCTCCTCCCTCTCTCTCTCTCTCTCTCTCTCTCTCTCAGTGAAAAGACCTGCTTGACTAATCGCGTAGGTCTACTGGGGCCCGCAGGATTTCTTTTTAAGGGAGTTAAAAGTGATTTTATCATGAGGCTCTCTGACTCATAGCCACTCCAAAAGCGTACCCTTTAGACAAAATAACTAGTTTTATCAGGATGAAATAGGGCCTGCAAAATTGACTGAAAAAACTGGTACAGAAGTACATACAGTACATAAGGGCACATTCAACTACAGTATTCTTTCCTTCTTAGCCAAGGTAAACATTTTACACTTTTAATGTAATTCATACTTGGAAGTTATGGAAGTAATGTCACGACATTGAAAAAAAAAAACATATCAGCATTAATAAAACAGGCTATAGAACACTTAATGGTTGATTAAGAAGGAAATTGGAAAAGATGCAATTTTGCGATTAACATGGGAAATTATTTTCATGCACTATAGCTAAAGGCTAGTACATTAATCTAGCAGGTTATTAATCACCAGAGGTCTTGATCTCACCCAAAAAACTAATTGGTTGTAAAAAAAAAAAAACAGCTTTTGTTAGCTACTTTGTTCCATAGACAAATTTCCTGCCCTTGTTACATCTTTAACATGGACCAACCCCAACTTGCATATGTCTTAAATAATGATTTTCATTTTCAAAGCACCTGGAGGCCATTTCTTGGGACTAAGCTGTCTGTCACTGACAGACATACCATTCATTCCTAGACATGTAATCCCTTCAGAATCAGTTTAGGTATTTACTGGGTATGGTTCAGTCTATTTGGGTATTTACAGTCCACATATACAGTTATCATGAGTGGTTAAGTGGCTTATTCGCAATGCTATAATACCAGTCTGAGTGCTTAGACTGGGTATTGTGTGACCTATGAAGTTGATTTAGACCAAATCCCTTAAGCTATGAGTTGGAAAACACAAACAGTTGTCTATCGTGTATAAAATTGCTTAATGGCACCACTGCCCATCCAAGTGCACACACTGAACATCTATCTCCTTGTAGTTTCTTTCTACTGGAGACTGGTTGACTGTGGAGTGACACTAAATAATCACCACACCCTGCAGGTACTAATAGTCCCCTTGCAGAGCAGTTGCATTCAAAGACAGACATTCCAAACATAGTTGGTCCAAAACAGCTGGTTAACATTTTCTGAGCTCTGTTCGAAGACGAGAGGTGATACTTGCAACCTGCTCCACTGCAGTATAACACAGAGAACAGTCACCACTATGGATGGGATATGATAGCTGAGCTGCCTGGAATGCACACACAGCTGTTCGAAACATAAAGAAGGTAGTGGCAGGAGTTTGTATAGGCCACTGAGAGTTTGACGGGACTAATGCAGCCAGGCCAGTTTACTGTCAACCAGTTTAATTCCCTGACTCTCTCTTTCTCTGTCTTTTCCAGGCCATGACAGCAGGAGCAGAAAAACCTTCCCACTGACTATCTCACATCAATACAGCCACTCATCCTTGATATCGACCCAGTCATAATCATCTCTCCATGCTATAAAGACATAAGATCCACTAACAAGTCTTCTGTCCTGTGGTGAAGGACTTAGCATGGGGGTAACCCTCACACTGCCTTACATAAGACCTATATCATGCCGCATAGCTGTGGCTAATGCTGATTTAGCCAAATACAGGGTATTCTTACGTAAGACCTTTAGTCATACAGTAGCTGTGGCTGTGATTTACTGTATTGGCTCATTACCTAATGGAGCTGCAGGAGAGAAGAGGAGAGGATAGAAAAGGACGAAAGAGGAAAAACACAGAAGAGGATAGTAAAAGCATTAGGAAAAGAGATCTGAAGTGAATACACGAAGAGAAGGGAAAGAAAGGGATTAATATAGTGAGGCAGGAAGGGGTAAAGAATAAAAAGAAAAATCCTTCTCCATTTCTTGACATAAACTCCAAAGTATATTTATGGTGACAAATGGCTGCTTATTATCTTAGAGTATAGCTTGTTTAGTTACTACAGGTGGAGCAATGGGGGGCTTGAGCATTGTGAGGAGGTAGCCTTGTACCCAATTTGGAAAAGTGGTGTCAGACAAGAGTAGTTTTAAAATGACAGGGTTGTCATCCTTTTTCAGGCAGACTGTGTTTTGTGGTCTTTGACATAATCCACAGAGTGTAGAGCACCGTTCAAATGTTATTGTTTTAGAACCATGTTCCCCAACGATTATATGTCTTCAGTTGTATGCTCACTTTGTGTAAACCAAAGTAATCACACCGTTATATTGTGCAGACTGCCAGATAACACCAACAACGCCAGAGAATTTCACCCCATAAAACGAGGCCATTGCTGAATGTCCAGGTCTTTTGTTGAGGCACACAAGTAATTGCTGAAAGAGTTCGAATTCACTCATCCATCAACCCATTTTATGCAGCTCACCAGGGTCCAGGTTGCAACTGGAGCAGACTAAACAAGGTAGCCCAGCCATGTCCTCCAGCTCCCTACAAAGACCCTGGTATATTCCCAGGGCATATGGGATTTTATCCCTGCAGTGTGTTCTGGGTCTGCCACAGGATCTCCTCCCAAACAGACATGCCAAGAATACCTCCACAGGGAAACATCCAGATGCCTGAACCACGGCAACTGGATCCTTTTAAGACACAAGAGCACCAGTCCTATTCCAGGCACACTCTTGACGTCCAAGCTCCTAACTGTGCAAAGAAAACTTCAGCCCGTTGATTCAGTTTCCTCATTTTGTCTGTAACTAGTACGAGTAGTGGCCATAGAAGAGGAGTCGGAATTTCAATTGGTAAATTAAGAGCATTGTCATCAGGCTTTCTGAATCTTTCTCTTCATTACCACAGTTGTCTGGTAGAATGCCTGTATCACTGCAGATGCCACACCAATCTGTCTGTTGATCCCATTTTACACCTTACCATCACTACTCTACATCACACTGAGACACTTCAAATCCTTCACTTACAATTGGCTCCCAACCTGAAGAGGGCAATCCACCACAGCAGAGTACAATGGGCCTTGAAGATGTATACGCTCCTCACAACTGCTTCACACTAGACTACAAATAACCTTTTTTGCATACTTTTTGCAAGGATGGTCATTATCCAATATAAGATCAGATCAGAACTACATCACCAGTTAATACCAGAGAAGCAACATTTAGATCACCAAATCAGGATACTCATCACTTGGCTGCAATCTTGGCTAATTTTCATTAAGGTACAACCTTGGCAGATCTCAACAACCATAGATTGTGCCCTTGACTAGAGTATGGAAACAGCTCTTACTTTGGTTATATAAAAAGTGACTTGTATCATCAGCCCTTTGCCCTACAGTGCATATTCCCACAGTCGCCTTCCACTAGAAACACAGGGGGACACAATCATAAGCCTTCTCCAAGTCCACAAAACACACAAAGATTAGATGGTTGAACTCCCATGAACCCTCGGTATCCTTGCAAGAATACAAAGCTGGTCAACTCTTCAATAACCACGATGGAATCTCTATTGTTCTGTCTCAATTTGAAGTTCAACAATAACCTTTCCAGTGGAAGTTGAAAAGGGTGATACCCCGATAACTGATGCCCACCTTCTAGTCCTCAATTTTTTCAAATGGGAATGACAACCCACCCCCATTAACCAGCTCATCTGTACTTTCCATAGAGCTTCTTTAAGACTAGCCAAAAGTCCCTCAATGTGGCCTTCCTGAAGTCACCCATTTTTTGCTTCTCCTGCATTTCCTCCTGTCTCCCAATACCTGCCTGTTGCTTTGTCCTCAACAAGGACAACCAGCTGCTAAACTCAAGCAAAGAGGAGGAGCAGACTACAGAAGTCTTAAGCTTGCTTCTAACTCCACATCCCATCTTTTTTTAATTTTTAAACTTATATGCCAACTTCCTCTGGAGCCACAAAAGGATTTAAACTTGTAAACATACTTTGATGTGCAAACTCTGTGGAGTTCCACGTTAAATGATCACCAAAGTTATTACAATGTATCCCAAGGGAGACATTACTGTCTGTACAAACTTTTATGTCAATCTGTTTAATAGCTGTTAAGACACTTAACTCAAAACCACAAAACCTCTCAGTGGTGATAGAACAAGAAGTCAGAGGATCACAAAAGTCATTAGGATTCATCCTCTGGGCACTATGAATATATATACAAGATTTCATGTCAAATCATCTAATAGTTGCGGAGATATTTTAGTCAGGTGAACTGACCAGCAGATAGGCATTGCCATCCCTAGAGCTACATTTCTTCAATATAAACCTTTCATGACATGTCAAACAACTCAACTGCAAAAATTATATAAAATGTCAAAACCTGCTAGCACTGAGACTTGTCAGCATTTTTAGACTTCAAGAGAAATAAAATCATTATATGACACTCGTTGCAGGTCTTTAGGCAAATTGTCACACCTTGCAAAATATAAATAAGACAGCCCACTTTACAGTCCCTTGTTTTATGTGATTTACCTCCCCCACCCCATGTCAAAAATTAGGCTACCTGACAGGGAGAATTTTTGACACGTTAGCCTAAAGCAAGGAGATAAAGAGAAACAGAGACATGGAGGCACTACAAAGGGAATGGAGATGTGTAATGTAAGAATAACGAAGAGAACAGATTAGAAGTGGAGGAGGAGGGGAGCACTTTAATTCCAAAGTTAGGGGATGGGTAACATATAGCCCCGGGGAATAATAGCAAAGTATTGGCAGAGAGAGAGAGAAAAAGGAGTGGGAGAGACACAAAGTGAAGGTAGCTGTAATCTCGTATGATTTCTCGTGTCTGATGTGCTGAAGCTCCATCCTTCACTTCCCCCCGTAATACTTTGATCCATCCCTTTGTTTCACTCTTTCAGTCTCTCTTTCTATA